GCCTTCCAGCAGATCCACACTCCCCCATTCACACTTTTAGTCAAGACATCACAGTTACATTTCTTTAGTGATTTGTGCATTGCCAATCACCATTTTGACCATTTCAGGTCAAATATACCTGAAATACATAAATCCTTCATGAAAAATATAGCTGTGTTTTCCCGCCAGTGCAGGTGAAATTCAGGGTAGGATTCACTGTTGACTGTAAAGATGCAATGAGTTTCCATTCAGTTTTACCCCTGACAACACCTGCAGAGCTGAGGCACCTCCAGGGCAGCACACAGGACTCGTGGCCTCTCATACAGAGCTGTATGTGCTGCCCTGTTGTACCTCTGAACCCTCTGGTGGTGGAGTTTCCTAACTTTTCATAGGGGTTACTAAGAGAACAAATGGATTGTTGTATTTTTATCCTATCCTGAACCTAAGCAGGTTGTAACAGTGCCATGATTTACCAGAAGTCATGCTGTGAGTATATTATACCATCCCTGGAAGCAGATGAGGCTGGAACAATGTGATAGGTAGGGAAGAAGCTAAAGAAGTGGCTTGAAGAAGATTTTAAGGTGTGGAGGTTGGGATTAATATCCCTCAAACTGCTTTATCAATATTATTATCAGGTGTGAGGACAAAGCAGGACAGCACAAATGCTGTGGCTCTGCAAACCACTCTCCTTGTGACAAAACATGCCACCCCCCACCTGGTTGCCATATGTCACTCAGAACCTTCCCAGGCTCTGAGCTGGAGAACAGCATCATCTGAAGTCCACTCAGCTCCGAGGTCAATGCAAACTGCCTCTTCTAGCTCCGAGTTTTGACTTTCACAGCTGTGTCTTCTGAGCCCAGAATAATTCATTTCCACAGATGTATGTTCCTTAATATCATTACACATTGGCCTGTACAATCCCTCTGGGAGAGGAGCCCATTTGTAAGGCAATATTATTCCTATGCCATGCTTTTAATTCCGAGGTTGTTATTGATAATGACTTCCTCTCATACATCTCTAGCACGGGCTGAGCTTTCCTCAGAGGAAGGCAGGGCAGGAGGGGCTCAAACAGAATTGATACTGGCACTGTGTGACGAGGAAAGAGGCTTTGGACACACATTCTATGCTCAGATTAGGAAGTTCTAGTCTCTAATAAATGTTTAGGCTACAAAATAAGCTGCTGCTACAAATCTTTGGCTTTGATAGTTTTTCCCACCCACGTTTTCTTTTGCCACATCTCTACAATGCTCTGTTGGGAAAGAATATTTGCCTGACAATGCAAGATGAATTCCACTTCCACAGTGCATACTCCAACCTCGGTGCAGTGTAACATATACATCACCTCCATCAGCTATGATTGGAAAAGTCCTGTTGCTGATCACTAATAATGAAAGGAGATGCTGGGACACTGAATTAGCTCTCTCTGCCTTTAGTTTCAGACTGTGTGAAGGGGTTGGAATGAAATTTAGAGATCATCCAGCCCCAACCC